GAACTTTAAGGTCCCTTCCAATCCAAACCATTCCATGATTCTCTGATTCTACACTTGTGTTCTTGCAGGCGTTTAGTGTGTGTTAAAGTCATAAAATCACAGAATCCCAGAATGGTTTGGGTTGGAAGGGACCTTAAAGCTCCTTAAAGTTCCACCCCCTGTCATGGGCAGGGATGGCACCCACTGAATCCTGGTGCCTGAGCAGGGGGTGACACTCCCACATGCTGAGCTGGGACCTGCAGAACATGGGGCTGGGACCCTGCCACAGTGGTCATCCCATGTCCAGGGAGGTGGCACTCAATCCATGCCTGCCTTTATTCAGAGGAATAAAGAACTTTCCAGAGAAGTCAATTCTCCGAAGAGACCAATTTACTCCGTTTCCCTGACTCAGTTGCATCCACGTCCTTTATCCCCCCTAACCCTCCTCCACCTGATTTTCCACCCAGTAACCCGCGATCATCCAGCCTCCTTCCCTGCAGAAGTCGGATCGATTACCCCCGGAAACAGGCCATCTGGAAGCAGCCCAATTAGCCAGCCTGGAGCTCCAGAACCTTTGGGGAAGCCTGGCTGATTCTCCTGGGGCATTTGGCAAGGGCTGGCTCTGGTCCTTGTCACATCATGGCAAGAGAAACGCCTGGTCCCGCGTGCCCAAACCGTTCCTGAAGGGGTGAGGCGAAGTCTTGGTGGATGCCAGGGCAGCAGGGATGTGTGTGTGTGCATCCTGGGAGCATCCAGCCCCGCAGGAGCTGCTCAAGAGGATGCTCTGAGTGTTGGGGTGGGTTGGAAGTGAATGCCAAGGGGTCTGCTGGGGGTCCCCAAAGAGCAACACGTCGGGTGGGGACAGCTCTGTGGCTCTTTACTGGGTTGAGGGCAGGGCTACACCAGCAGCTCCAGCCCTTCCCTGTGCTCCCTTCCAGCAAATCCTTGGAGCTCTGAGCATCCTCGGCAGCCTCGAGCTCGTTTGGATGCACCCTAATTAATTAAGAACGGGGTTTGCACACAAGCATCTCTGTGCGTGGCTAAACCTGCCCGTGGCATCGCTGGGGTGGGTCAGGGAGGGGGAAGAGGATGGATGAAAAGGTGGTTGTCCTTGGAGTTCTTATAAAATAGATGGAGAGGGACTTTTTATATGGGCAGACAGGGGCAAGACAGTTTTAGACTGGCAGAGGGCACATTTGGATCAGGTATTAGGGAGAAATTCTCCCCTGTGAGGGTGGGGAGGCCCCGGCACAGGTTGCCCAGAGAAGCTGTGGCTGCCCCAAGTGTCCAAGGCCAGGTTGGATGGGGCTTGGAGCAACCTGGGCTAGTGGAAGGTGTTCCCTGACCGTGGAACAAGGTGGATTTAAGGTCCCTTCCTGCCCCCAGGACAGCAGGTTGGTGTAGGAAAGAAGAGAAGCTTTGGGGTGACCCAACTGTGGCCTTCCAGTCCCTGAAGGGAACCTACAAGAGAGATGGAAATCAGACTGGGATTGGTGGTGCTGCCCAACCCCTTCCATTTGTCTTTTCTGCCTCTCAGCAGGTCAGGAGAGCGTGTCAGTGGGGACCAGGAGCTGGAGGCTGCAAAACCCGTTTCTGTCTGGGAAAAAAAATAGAAAGCAGCAGCTCATCCCAGCTCCAACAGTGCTCCTTGTCTCCTTCACCACGGCTGCAAATGGCAGCCCCTTGCCCAAGGGTGGAAATATTCGAGTTGAGCTTTCGTTTTTGTTTTTTTTATTATTTATTTATTTATTTTAAATACGGCATTAAAAATGTCTTGCCCTTGAAAAGTCCTTTTCAGTTCTCTTTAGTGTTATTTTCCAGGCGCTTTTGCAAATGCATCTCTCGGAAAAAGTTTCCTTCCAGGTTAAACAAAAAAAAAAAAAAAGCTGAGAATTCGTGGCCCTGTCAGGTTTTGCCTCCCCTGCAAACAAACGGTTGGTTCGGGTACATTCACACGTCCTTGGGCTCTGGGTTTTTGAGTAAAATGGGGCAAAAAAAAAATAATCAGTTATTCGTTCTGTGCTCTGCCAGATGTGCTGGGTGAGCACTTCCCAACCCCTGCCAGATGTGCCAGGGGTGGGGGAGAGGAGGGTCTGAGGCTGTTGCCCCCTCCCCGGGCAGGATGGGGCTGGTGAGGGCAAAGCAGTGACAACTGGGATGATGGAGATAAGTGGGATAATGATGGGGAGGAGTGGGATGATGGGGAAAACTGGGATGGTGATGGGGGTAACTGGGATGAAGAGTTGACTGGGATGATGGGGATAACTGGGATGATGGGTTGACTGAGATGGTGATGGGGATAACTGGGATGATGGGGATGACAATTTATCCCTCAGCACCGGGGTTTTGGGGCAGGATTCAGCCCCTTTCAGGCTCGGGCTGAGGTTCCAACCCTCTGCACAGGGTGGGGGGTCCATCCTGGTGACCCCCCCTCAGCTGCAAACGGAGCTGCTGCTGCAGAAAAGAGGTTTGTTGCCCCCATTAGAGAGAACCATCCTCTGCTGCTGATGGAGCTCCCCAGGCTGCCAAACCCTTCGTAATTAAGCGAGTGCCTTGATTGGGAAGTTACCACGCACTTGAACGGAACAATCTGGGAGGTGTTGATGGAGAGGAGGGGAGGGAGGGGATGGAACAAGCACAGGGCAGCTCTGCTTTCCAGGCTGGACCCCCAAGTAGGGACCCCCCCTCTCCAAACCTCTCGGAAAATAAATAAGCGAAAGAAAAAGTGAATAACAAGCCAAAGAAAAAACTCCTGGAGCTGCTGAAAAGCCACCGCCTGGCAGAGCCTGGCTTAACAAAGCCTGCACCCAGCTGTCCCTGCAGCCTGTGTGGGAGCTGGCAGGGGGCTGATGGGCTCCAGAGGGATGGGGGGCACTCACAGGCCTGAGCTCGCAGCTGCAAATTGCTTCCAAGGGTGTTTTTAAAAGCAGTGGGAATGGCAGTGCTGGCCAGAGCTGTGGTGGGGAGGGTGCTGGGTGTGCTGGGCTCCCTCCCAGAGCGTGGATGGGAGCTGGGAGCTGTGGAGCAGGTCCTGTGTCCGCCTGCTCCTGGCACTCAGCGTGGTCCCCGGGGGTCCCTGAGTCAGCAGGATGTGCTCCAGCCGTGCTTCCAGAGTGCCCAGGTACCCTGCCCAGACAGGGTGGCACCTGCCCAGACAGCGGGAGGTGGCACCAGGAGGATGGCACAAGGCAAACACCAACATCTCCCTGGCAGTGAGGTCTGAACCCGAGCTGATCCCAACTCTCAAGCCCTGTCCTGCACAGACACGGGTCATCCCCAGTCCTGGCCTAAACCCTGCTGGTGTGGAACAACTCTGCCAAGGAACCCTGGGAGACTCCTGGCAGGTTTGACCATGGAAAGGGCGAGGGCACATCACCACAGCCACTTCTGAGCCAGGAGCTTGGAGCACAGTGTTTATTCATTCCTTGGGAGATATTCCCTATCCCTGGAAGTGTTCAAAGCCAAGCTGGACAGGGCCTGGAGCAACCTGGGATAGTGGAAGGTGTCCCTGCCAGTGGCAGGGGGTGGAACGAATGGTCTTAAAGTCCCTTCCAACCCAAACCATTCCATAATTCTATGATTCTGTGTTTAATTCCAGAATCAGGTGGAAAAGGGGGGGCTAGAAGCCACGGTGATGGGATCCACAGATGGTAATGGGATCTGTGGATTGGTAGAATCAGGTTACTCAGTGAGTGAAACAGGGAGGATGTTGTTTGCACATGACATTGTTCTCTTTAAAACGCCCTCCCCTCTCCCTGCCGAGCAGAACCAGCTGGAGGGGGTCTAATAACACCCATCCCTCACCCTGACACCGCTCGTGGCTCTGGCTCTGCTGCAATTACCTCAGTTTGCTTTTTCAGACCGGGGCTCATTTTTAACTCCGCTTCGAGCGGGTGAAAAATCCTGTCGGGTGTCAGGTCAGGTCAGGGAGTGACACCCCAACCCCTGTCCCCCTCACCCACCCCGCAGGAGGGTTGAAAGCACAACCCAAAGAGTGGGGAGCTGGGGTGCTGAGGGTGATCTCACGAGGGTGATGGTCAGCCCGGAGTGGCTCACGGACACGTTTCAGGCTCATTTCCTCCCCTCCGGTGAGTCACCACATTTATCCCCGTGCACAGGCAGTGCCAGGCTGTGCTGACCTCCTGTAACCATCCCTGTGGACTGAAAGGGATGGGAAAAGGGGTGTGGAAATGGTTAAAAAGTGGGGATTTGGTAGGGTTGCTTAGAGAAAGCCACCAGCTCTGGTTTGGCTCCGGGGTTTTGGCCAGGCTGGGGTTACAACAACCCCTGAGGTGACTGGGATTAATCCCACAAATCCTGGACGCCCAGGAAAAGACCCCTCCAGTGTGGGAGGGGGAGCTGCAAAGCCCAGACCCTCGTGCTCCCTCCTGCCAGGCTGGAGGTGCTGGAGTCTGTGCCAGTGCAGAGTG